ACGGGGTCCTCACTGTGTTCGACTAAGATGGCAGTATGCCCCTTGACACGATTCAAGGAAGCTCAGCTGCCCTGACTCCACAGTCGATGTGTTACCATAATAAATAAACTAGCTGTATCCAGTTAAAATAGTCTCTAAATATCATAGAGCGACACCTTCTTGCCACTCAATATGACTTCCACACAATGTAACAGAATTATTTTACTCGCTGGCTTAAACGTCAGTGACCTTTCGTCCACAGCTTCTATCTAATAACTGCAATCAGCGACACTGACACACTTCTGCCTTCTACGCTTGTACGGTATCTAGCTATTATGTTTAGTCCAGTGGATTTGGACAATGAGCCCTGTATCTTGGAATGACAAATGGAATGTGAAAAATAGCGACTATTATTGATTTATACCGTTTGAGCGTTACAGGCGTCTCAACCACAATGTCAAGCACAAGCACAACGATATCACTACAGTATATTCAGACAAGAGATAGACCGGATGTAAACAAAAGGTTCGGGTGATTTTCACGCTAACGCCGCCGTCTCGACGTAAAACAGGAGCCCTCATTGGTCAATTCGCAATTAAATGCCTATGCCGAGCGGCAGAGCAGTCGTATCAAGGCAGAGTCACATTCAGGTTCAGACGTGTTACGTATGTCGTGTGCATCATTGCAATTTGATATTTCTTTGGACGTTTTCGTTTGTTATCTTATTAAGTTGTTGAGTTTGTCGTTGTTATTGTTATACCTTGTTATTGATTGTTATTGTTATCAACTGCTTGCGCAAAATGCCCAGTAGTACAGATACTGCCGATGAAGTTGTAAGCTCCTGTAGTCCACCTAGTAAACGCTCTAAAAAAAGACACCTGAGTGCAGAAATAAAAGAGGTCATTTTGAATATATATAAGATCGAGCGCGAGGAGAACGAGGCATCAACCATCAAAGAAATTGTTGTGAAGGTTTCTCACAAAGTTGGGGTGTGTTGCGCATCAGTGTTTAATGTGTTAAGACAATACAAAAAAAATCACACCTTTTCTGAGCCAATGACCAGTAAACATCGCAAAAGTATTGTTAAATCATTGGATGAAGCTGATAAGCATGCGATTAGGAGGAAAGTGCATGAATTCTTCTTTAGGAATGAAATACCTACTATAGATAAAGTACTACAGGAGGTAAATGGAGATACAACGTTGCCAAATTTCAAACGATCAACTTTCCATGCGTTACTGAAGCATTTAAATTTCAAATGGAAAAAACGGGGTCGTAATAGTTTACTACCGGATAGAGAAGAAATTGTGCTATGGAGGAGGGATTATTTAACAAAAATTGGGAAATATAGAAATCAAAACAGGAAGATTTATTACCTTGATGAAACGTGGGTAAACGCAGGTCACACTACAAGTAAAGTATGGGTTGATGATTCTGTAACTTCATCCAGGAGGGCCTTTCTAGATGGACTGTCCACCGGATTAAAAAATCCAGCAGGTAAATACGAGTAATAGACAACAATCGGATGTTTTTTCAAGCCTTGGGAACAAGGTTCTAAACATTAATTCCAGGGGGCAGATAAAACATATTACAAGTAACAAAACTTTTATAACTTTCGATAAAATGCGTGGATGTTTTACTGTCATTTTCATTTGTTAGAACTTTTTTAAGCCATGTTTTTATGTGTTTTCGATATTTCAATAATTTTTTAATATAATCTTAAAATATGTCGAATATTATAAACTTAAAAAAAGTTACTAAGTTTTATATTGTGTACCGTTCCTAATATTTCTAATCATTTTAATTCATACTTTAAGCTTTATAAAGTTATAATTTGTTAATATTAATATTTGCGCGTATTTCAGGTTCCTGATCATTCATTTTTTAAAGGTTTATAACTTTAAATTGAATTGTGAAGCGCTGAGTAATCATACGACGTTCAATATTCTTTCTTTCAATATGACTAAATAATCCCAATTATAGCAATCTGATACTCATGTCTCAATGTTTTTTCGCTGAATGTGATGAAAACGTTTGAAAAAGGTTCGCTTATTGAAATAAATCTACACCAGTTAGTACTTCGATTTCCAGGTAAAGGGAAAAAACTCATTATCTGCCATATTGGCAGTGAGGATGGATTTGTTGTTGACGGTCTGTGGTGCTTTGAGTCTAAGAAAACTGGAGATTACTACGAGGAAATGAATGGCGAATCGTTTGAACAGTGGTTTTCAAAAATTTTACCGAACTTAGAGGAAAACGCAGTAATTGTGTTGGATAATGCGCCTTATCATTCTCGAAGAATGGAGAAGGTCCCAACAACGGCTTCAAGGGAAGTTGATGTTCAAAATTGGCTCCGCTCGAAAAATATCAACTTTGAAGAAGCAATGCTGAAAGTACAATTATTAAGAATTGTCAAGGATCACAAGGCGGAATATCAAAAGTACGCCATTGACGAAATGGCAGCAAGTCAAAATAAAACTGTGCTCCGTTTACCTCCATACCATTGCGAGCTCAATCCCATTGAGCTCATATGGGCAGAGGTTAAAAATTATATAGCTAAGCACAATACAACTTTTAAATTTTGTGACCTCAAAGGACTTTTCAAAGAAGCACTAGAATTAATAACAGCGCAAAAATGGGAAAACTGTATTAAGCACGTGAAAGACAAAGTTGGGAACTGTACAATATTTTAGAGGAACAAGTCGAGCCATTCATTATTGACGTTGGTGCTTCAGGCAGTAGCGATGATGAAAGCTCATCAAGCTCATCTTTCCAATAAAAGATGTCGTTCATCAAATTCGGTATGTTATAAGTAATTATAAAGCTACTGTATTTTTTTAATTAATTATTGACATTTTTGAACCCATTTTGGCAAAACCTATTCAAGAATCTACTTTCTGACAATGTTCAACCATGCACATTTGTTTACGTTTTGAACGTTTTAATTTGGTTACATATTTACCTAGAAATCAAAAAATATACTAATCAATATTCTAAAAGCAATTTTAAGAGATATACGATTATTTTTAATTTAGGCTAATTTAAACGCCATTTTGAGATTATATTCGACTGTATTTCACCAAACATCAGGCGGCATCCGAAGCTGGAAATCGAAGCGAAAATTTTGAAACCCTTATGTATATTTACATCATTATATATTTCTTACCCCACCCCCACATGATCCTATATCCATCACCAATCGTATACACATCGAATTGTGCTAATTTACTACAAAGTTACGCAAAGCAGCATCTACTATCTAAAATATGTACTGCGTGACTCTTAATACGTCCCTGCCGAATGTTACAGCGTTCGATGATCACGTGGTCTTGTTTATGTCCGGTCTATCTCTTATCTGAATATACTGTAAGGCTAATCGCGACTAATCCTTATCTTAACTTCCCTATCTCTAATATTGTACGAGGTCTGTAAATTGAGTGATGAAACTGGCAACGTAGCGTTCAATCTGGCAACACTGGAGTCGCCGGGTTTGGACGGCAGACAGGGGAACATGCGATCCGCCTTCAGTACAAGTTTGAACTCGGTCGAGTCATTTGGTTGTCCGTAGCAATTTTTTGTGGAACACGTGTTTCTATTGTGTTAAAATGAATGACATCAATTTCGAGCAAGAGTATGCTATCAGGTTTTGCTTCAGATTTGGGCACAGTGCAACGGAAACTCTTGCTAAAGAGTCTTTTGTCAAGAGGCCAGGTTTGTCGGTAGTTTAAGGCATTTTCAAAAGGAAGGGAGTCGATTGGAGGTGAACCGCAAAGCGAAAGTGCTTCATCTTCAAAAACCGATAAAAAAATCGCGCTGGCAGCGCTGCATCGAAGCAGAAGCCTATTTTGAAAGTTTTTAAGGAATTGTAAGGATTAGCTCAATGAATTTGTTTAAATCGACTCAGTCCTATTACTTTCCGAACAAACCCTGTAGTCCGGGACCTTGTGCGTATAGAGCGTCGGTTGAGCAATGATTAGGGAAGAGTTAAATTTGACACCACTGTATACCACTAACAATAAACGAGTTGTGGGCCAGAAGAAACATTCCTGTGACTCCTCAGCCTCCAGACTTGAATCCTTGTGACTTTTTTCTCTTCCCAAAGTTGACAAACCGGCTGTAAGATTCAGCTGAGGACTATTGCAGTATCGGAATTCCAGCACTGCTATGAGAGCTGGAAGAACCATCTCCAGCGATGTGTGTCTTCGAAAGGAAATTATTTTGAAGGTGACTATACTTCGAGACTTCGAAGTTGAGTCATTTATTTTAACAGTGAGTAGATCTGATCAAAAGAAATGTTTTTTCCTTTACCATTTTTCTGGTAAAATTAAAGTAACAAAGTTATAGCCCTTTGGAAGTTTGAGTACCGCCCTGTCTCAATAATAATATCATGTGCTCGTGTTTGGCAACAACGGATATAATCCGCCTTATCGGTTCATCGCATCGGAAACAAAAAAGCGAAAGAATTTGAAACGATGTTTTTACAATTATTTTATTCAGTTCAGTTATACATACAGTCAGTGTCAGTAGGTGTTCGCGTGTGAATAGTGTCTGTTGCGTGGCTCAAACGAAATAAAAAATGGCACATGTTTATGCGGATCGGTTTCCCAATCGAGTGCAACCAACCCCTCGTGCCTTTATTAATGTAGTACAACGGGCTCGTGAATCAGGTGACTTAAGACCTCACAGGGGACCTGACGATCAAATACAGGTCCGCACTGAAATACTTGTCGGTAGGATACTTTATAAAACAAGGTAAAAAAAAATTTTTTATTTTTTTTTTATTTTTACACACATATTTTGGTTTATCTTCCTTCTACAATCATTATCTGAAAATTAATGACTCAACTTCAAAGTCACCCTGTATAATACTGTTTGGATAAAAACATCAGTCTGATCACTTAATTTACGGACCTCGTAGCAGTAGTGACTAGCGATTCCGTTTGTAATGAACGTATTTTTGTGAATCAAGATCCTTCGCTGACTGTACCAACCGTGACTTTCAAATCGAGATGCACATACAGACAAAGCGGTTTAAAGTATTTTCGCGTCATGACTGTTCATAAACAGAGCTAGTCGAGAATACATGTGATTTTAACAATTATATCTGCGTCGTTCATTGTGTGTGTGAGTGCAAGAGAGTTTTGTACAGATAGTATATCATCGAGTGACTTATATTAAGTGTGATCATGCTGTTTGTCGCTGTAGCAGGTTCAATACAAGGTCATCAGGTAATCGGGTTATGGTTCAATATAGGCGCGTAAACAAGCAGATAAGCTCTGAATCGATCAAAACAGAAGTTTGGACAGCGACTATAGGACAAAAAGTATTCGGTCAATTGTGGAAATGTTTGGTATAGTGGTAATGTATGCAATATGATGCTTTTATCGCTATTCAGCTTGCGTCTACACGCAATACTTTTAATTAGTAATAGATTCTTGGGATTCGGTCAACTTAGAACATTTGTTAAAAATAGGACGGTTTGGCGACTTTAAACGCCATCTTCATTTACATGAGAGTTTCTAGAACTAAACAAAAGCGTCAAACATTACAACACAATACACGTTAAAAATAGATAAATAAAAGTACTAAAAAGTGTAAATCTGATATACAGAAATAATTACTAGTTGATAAAAATAGCTACGTTTCTGTCAGATAGATGTTGGCTGTTTTAGTGTAGCTCAACGACTGGCGGTAAATATTTGCTATACTATAACTATCTAAAACTGTAATGACTCATCGATGTTCACGTGAACATCACTTAACTACCAGTAGTCGGCTGTTCATGGGCGGGGTATGAATGTTTAACATGGGTGAACTAGATTTGTCACATGCTTAATAAAGAGTGGTTTGAAACATATTGTAAGTAAAAAATTTGGGAATTACCTTTATTAATCGTCGCTTCCACTTACATCTGACAGTAATAAACTGTCGCTATCGCTTTCCTCGTTGAAATTAACTATAACTGGCTCTATGATGGTGTCGATGTGGTGGTCAAGCTGCCACATTTTTGTTTCTTCCTTCACAACATGACGGATAGCATTCTGCCAAGCTTCGGGCGTTACTAGCTGTATGGAAGTCTCAAGTAAAACCTTACCGTCTGGTAATTTGAAGGTTGTGTTATGGCGCGTAATATAACCCTTCACTTGAGCCCAGATGAGCTCTATTGGGTTCAGTTCACAGTCGTAGGGCGTAACCGCAGCACAGTGACACCACATTGACGGGCCATCTCATCAGTCACGTAACTAATGTTCGCAGGTTTGTGCTGCTTAATTTTTTCATACAATTCCGCTTTCACACATGAATCGTCAAAACGGGTTTCTTTTTCGTGTAACCATTGCTGCATGTCACTTTTTCGAGATCCCATAATCGGTACACGTTCGGCTCGACGACTATGGTAGGAAGATCCATGACGATCACAGAGTTGGGCTCAACTCGCTGAAGCACCCCTTGAAACCAGCTCTCGAAGCAGCTGGCATTCATTTCGTCATGGTAATCACCTCCTTTCTTAGAGACGAAAATCAAGTCACACTCTTCTAAAAAGCCACTATCGCTACCAATATGAGTTACGATCAATCTTTGACCTTTCCCTGACGGTCCACGAAGACCTGTTGACTAACCTTCAATGCTTGCTTGTCGGTTACTCACTACGTTTTTGTCTATCCAGGTTATATAATATCTTTAGTATAACTACTCCAGTTCTTTGAGGATTGGTCTAGGTCTGAAAACCTAACAAAGACACACGACATTTTTTCTCCTCGTAACCCATACTTCTCCCAGCGATGCTTCCATCTTTGTAACCGGTCCAAATAGTTCTCGCCGTTTTTCTCTGCGAAACAACTGTGAAGTCGCTTGGAGCTAGATCTGGTGAGTAAGCCGGATGGTCAAGCAGTTCGAACCGTGATTCGTGGATTCAAGTCATGGCTACAGCTGAGGTGTGAGACGGTACAGCAGGAATGTTTTTTCTGCAAATCGGACGTCCCGAAAGTTAATTGTCTCCCAGCCTCTCACGGTCACGTTTAAATTCAGTAGCCCAAAATTTCAATATGGTAAATGATGGTGAAGGGTCCACATACACAGAATCCAACACATTGTTGATTTGGGTGGGCGTATTGCCTTTCAGAAACAAATATTTGACGACAGCGCGCCCAAAATGGCTTAAACTTTGGTGAGTAGCTGGCAACAAATGAACAACGAAATTCACTAGCTTTTATTTACACGCACTGCGATCTTTACGTTGAGGTCGGAAACGATTCTGACCACCCTTACTTTATACAACCTGGCAATATATATACTAAGTGATATATAAATCTGAACACCCAGTTTGAATGGCTTTATTTTAATAAAATTTTGTATAAGTACTTAATGAAGCATAATAAGTAAATGAAAAAAATTTCAAAATGATTGCACTGCTTTAAAGCCCTTTGACCTTTAATAATGTGTGGATGCATCCTGATGTGCTACGCATTCTCCAACACACCTAGGTATGCTTCTGATCAGGTGGTCAATGTCCTCCTGTGGTATCTCATTCCAGGCAACCACCAACTCCTCTCGAAGTGCTTCTAAAGTCTGAGAAGGACGTTGCAAATTGAGCAATCTCCTACCCATCATATCCCACACGTGCTCAATTGGGGATAAGTCGGGGGATCTTGGTGGCCATGGTAACAATGTGACATCATTATGTTGAAAGAAGTCTATTGTGACTCTTGCAACATGTGGTCGGGCATTATCTTGTTGGAAAGTTGGATCTGCCAGGGTGTCAAGATAGTGTAAAAGATGGGGTTCTAGAACTTCGTGGATATAACGCTGCGCGTTCATGTTACCTCCGATGAAGATTAAAGGTGACCTGAAACCATAAGCTATAGCACCCCAAACCATAACTCCAACAGTGTGATGAACATGTCTTTCAATAAAAAACTGTGGATTCCTCCTTTCACCACGTCGCCTTCTAACCCTGGCACGACCATCGTGCATGCCTAAACAAAATCGAGACTCGTCACTGAAGACAATACTGTTCCATTCCTGATCCCAGAGTGACCGTTATCTGCACCACTCAAGGCGATTACGTCGGTGTTCTCGAGTTAAAGGGAGGACCCAGTGTGGCCGGTATGAAAACAAGCCAAAACTTCTCATTCGTCGGTAAACACTTCGCATGCCAATAGGTCTTCCGTGTTCTGCAAACCATTCATTTGCAATGGACCTGGTAGTGGAGAAACGGTCCCTTAAGGCCAATAATCTTAGGCGGCGATCTTCACGGTCTGTTGTTCTACGGCGGCGTCTAGTACCCCTTGCTCTTTGCGTACGGCCTTCTCAAAGCCATGCCTGACAACACCTAACCACAGTGTCTACACTTCTTTGCACTCTAACTGCAATTGCCCTAAAAGAAAGTCCAGCTTCCTGAAGTCCCACTAAACTCACTAAGTTGACGAAATGGTACAGGTCTCCGTACTCTAGGCATCGTAACCGATCGTAAAGGATGTCAAGAACCAAAATCCGCCAACGTTGATTCTTTACTGCGGCTGAAATATTCATTTTTAGAGCGTTAGTGAATTAAAAAAAAAGCAGTTTAAAAACCGGAATGTCCAACTGATAAGGCTAAAAATTTGTTCACTTGTTATTTACAGTAAGATAAATACATTCACCAACTTTTAAACTTTTATTAAAATAAAACCATTTACACTGGGTGTTCGGATTTATATGTCACTTAGTATACTTAATGTCAGCAGTATGTACTAAAATACAGAATATTTTTTTATTAACTACATTTTCCTATAAATTACAGAATTGCAGCATATCTACGACATGCCTAGTTGGCATTCTGACCGGATTAGCTGTATTGTTCTACGTGTATGTCAAGTGGTCGCACTCATATTGGAAAAGAAAAGGGGTACCCTACCTAGAACCGGAATTCTTCTACGGCAACAGCAAAAAGATAATAAAGAGAGAAATATCGTTTGGCGACAGATTTGCGGAAATATACACCGAAATGAAGTCTAAAGGATGGAAGTTTGGAGGAACTTATATATTCACCAGACCATCTTTTTTACCGATAGATCTGGAGCTGATCAAATGTATCCTACAAAAAGACTTCCAACATTTTATGAATCACGGCTTTTACGTGAACGAAGAGTCCGATCCCCTAACAGGACACCTGTTCAATTTGGAGAACCAGAAATGGAAAAACATCAGAGGAAAGTTAACTCCAACGTTCACTTCGGGTGAGTTTTCTCAGAATCTCCAGTATCAGATTTCACATCTTCTGTTCTCCTGTTACAACGTGTTCCACACATTTATGCCATATTTCTGGAGCTACTTAATGCACTGCTTTTACAAAAAGAGCATCTACGTCCCTCGTTTTTAATGTGGCGTTTCTCCTAGCTACAAAACCTTTGACTTGAACCACACCAGTTCAGTGAGATTCAGTTCGCAGTGATATGGCGGTAAATGAAGGATAATGACACCGTGGTTTTCAGCAATATTGACTGTCCTTATTCAGGGTGGCGCATCGAAAAACGCTCAGACCCGTCGATTTTGTTTTCGAGGGGGACACAAGTTTCGCAAAAAATCACGTTAGCACGTGCAGCCCCCTAAGCGGGGGTGACACCACCCCCAAAATCTTAAATGGAAAGGGGGGTCGAGTGATACCTTATTTTAAAGGTTTTTCAATTCCCTTTATAATGATATAAAATTAATGTATTTCAGTTCAGTAGTTTTGAAGATTTATTGATTTAAAGCTTAAATAAAACTAATATCATCATTAGTGGAGATCAATACATTTGGCAGCAAAGTAATTTAAAAATGAAGGATGAACTGACCCGTTAGGCAAGTAAATGTTGAAAATGGTCACCATGACTCTCCATGCAATAATAATGATTTAGCTCAAAACATTGCCGCACATTTTGCAATATTTGAGGAGTAATTTGAAGGCACTCATTCACAATTCTTTGTCGCGGGCCTTCTAATGATGTTGGCTGAGTAGCATAGATTTTGCTTTTTAACCTTCCAGAATTGGCGCTGTATATTATGACACCAGAGGTGGCGCCAAGTCTGTCAGACCCTGCTAAAAAAAGCGCATGCGAAGCCGTTTTTAAAAAAAATATATTATTGGCTATGTTTAATTACATCCTCTTTGATCAAATATTAACATTGTAACATAAAATACAAAATTCTTATAGAATTTATCCTTATAGAAAGAAAAAATAAGATAAAAAAGTGATTCCTAGAATTTGTTAAACAAAAATACAAGAACAGTGCAAACAATGTTTTTCTTGATAACACTAAATAATATATTGGTCATAAAACGAGTTTTAATCATTACGCAATGATTCTAAACAAATAGAACACCAAGCTCTTAGGTGTGAGAGACAAACAAATTTTTTACATTTTTCGCAGTAAAATCTAGTTTTAGAATCTTTTACACAGAAAAAACATCTTTTTCTGGTCCCAGGGGCAATGTCCATTAATGGCTGAGCATCCATAGGTGTTCCCGAATAAATCTGCCTCCTCTCTCACTCCTCTTGGTACATTTGTTTCACATGCTCGCCGTACTAAATGTGGTTTTGTTAGTTCTAGTGCAAGGTTCCTTAGGTATAGTCTTCTTATAACAGAATATTGTTTATTATTTACATGGATGTACAAGCAGCTCGACTTCTGGTATTTGTGAATTCCGGGGGAAGTTCCCTTTTATTTTTTTTCATGGTACCAACAAATGTTAGTTTGTGTTCTTTGAGTAGTTTCTCGACCAGAGGGACGCTGGTAAACCAATTATCACAAGTCAAATTTCTATTTGTCCCAGAAACAGGTTCAATGAGGCGTAAAACAATGCTAGCAGGATCGTTATTTGTTTTGAAAGGCCCATCTGGTTGTGTACCTACATATACCTCTAAATTGGCATAATATGACGTGGAAGCATCGACAAGAGCAAAGATCTTAACTCCATATTTGTTTGGCTTACTGGGGATGTACTGCTTGAATCCACAACGTCCACGAAACGCTTCAAGCTTCTCATCTATGGTTGCATTGGCTCCTATGCAGTAAGTATTTTTGCAGTTCTGAACAAATTTGTCAAAAGTTGACCTTATTGGTGCCAACTCATCAAATTTCTTTCTTTCGTCTCTAGTACAAAGGTTGTCGAATCGCAGACAGTTAAGGAGGAATCGAAAACGCTGCTCGGACATTGTCACCCAAAATCTTTCAATGCCAGTTCCTTGTCTATCCCAAATTTCCTTCGTGTTCAGTTTGCTACTTTTGAGAGTCCCAGCAAGGTACAGCAAACCAAAAAGTGCTTTAATTTCAAGAAAGTCTGTTAATTTCGCCGCTCTATCTCTGGAATAGTTTTCAGATATGCGCGTAATATACAAATTTGTCTTTTCAACTATTTCTTCGAGCATTTCATCTGAGAAAAACAACGACCAGCATTCGATTTCGGAGCGAGCATGTTTTCCATAATCTCGTACCCCAGGAAGACGCACAATTATGTTTTCTTGTCTAGTTCGTGAAGTTTTCTTAGTGCAGTGTTTTCTCCATCTTGTCTTACTATCCTTACCAAGAAAATGATGAGCTCCTGGAATTTCTGCAGTTTGGAGAGAAATGACCTCATCATTATATTCTTGCTCTGACTCGCTATCGGTGTCTCTTGTTGCAGTCACGTCCTCATCCGCAGCCAGTTCCAAGTCCTCATCATCTGGATCTTCTTCAAGTTGTACTTCATCCCATAGGGCCTGCAATCTTTTTTGCTCTGCTTCCCAACTCATTTCTGAAAGTAATAAAAATAACGTGGAGAGCATGAATTATACAAAAATAAAATAATCTACTGAAGATGTGTGTACTTATGTAAAACTACACTTTTATGACAAAATCAACATTATACTAGATATTCTCTCATGCAAAGCATTAACCGAGCAACATAACAATAAATAATGCTTTATTTACTTACCAAAATACAAAAGACTCAAATTTCAACAAAGCACAAAAACAGTTACGCGAGTAGTGGCGCCAAGTCTCACAGACTTTTTACAAAATAACTGCATCAATATTTAACCTACACCTGTCTCGCTTGCCATGCGAACACTAGAGGCCTATGTGGGAAGGTACTTAACTGGGCGGGATGTTACCGACTATTGCCGACACATGCCGAGTAATGGTAGAGCGGCTGGGTCTGTCAGACTAGGCGCCACTTCCGGAAGGTTTTAAATGACCCCACATAAATAAATCCAAAGGTGATAAATCTGGCGATCTTGGGGGCCATTCAATGGCACCTCTTCTGGCCAATCCATCGATCTGGAACCGACTGATCTAAATATTGTCGAACACGTAATGCGTAATGTGGTGGGGCACCATCCTGTTGGAATATCAACCTACTCGCAATGTACCGCCGATCATTCTGATTTTCAATTATGGCTGTTAATGCAGGATCTATGGAATTTTCCAGTAATTCCAAATACATTTCACTGGTCAAATTTCCGGGTAAGATAAAAGGACCAAGTAAATGATCGCCAAAAACACCAGGCCAAACATTTAATTTTTGTGGCTGCTGTGTATGAACCTCATGATAAATTCTGGAATTAGAATCGGACCAATATCGGCAGTAATGACGCCATTTAAGAGAAAGGAACATTCGTCGGAAAAGCAAGTGTTGAAAAGAAAATGTTCATCGTTTACAATTCCTTCACTCATATCTTCACAAAATTGTAATCGCCGATCAAAATCGTCTTCATTAAGTTCTTGTACCAGGCGAACTTTATACGGATGAAAACTATGGGCCCTTAGAATCCGTTGGACAGTACGTCGACTAACACCACACACAGTCTCCAATTTGCGGGTACTTAACGTAGGATCTACATAAACTTGCCCTAAAACCCCCACTTCTATTGCTTCGTTCGTTATGGGATTTTCAATGTTGCGTTTTTTACTGGCGACTGACCCAGTTTCCCTAAATTTAGCGACAAGTTCTAGAACATATTTTCGATGCACGTTACTGTTCTCATGTCGCTCATTAAATATTTCTACTGTTCTATTAGCGCACTGATTATTTCCGAAAAATGTTTCGACAATTTCAACTCTTTCTGCCATGGTTAATTTATGCAATAAAGTGTTATTTTAGCAACAAAGTTTGGTCAAATCGATCTTTCTACATCGGGCATAGATGAATTATTTACGAAATCTAATATTGATGAGAAAGTAGTGCACATTGCAAGCGTTATCGTGGAAACCTATAAAAACATGCACCTTTTAAAACTGTAAGAGTTAATAAGCCACCATCACCTTGGTTAACTAATGAACTGCGCACTGTTCTTGATGAAAAGAATACTGCACAAGCTTTATATAAAACTAAAAAGACCGTGGACGCCTATAATAACTGCAAATCGCTTAGAAACCGTGCTCTTAACATGATCAGGAGGGACAAAAAGACATATATCAAAAATTTGGCAAATGAAAATGATTCAAAAAAATTGTGGAAGTCTTTCAAACAACTTAATATAAATTTTCGTAGTAAACCAACCCTTCCGGCAAGTTTTAATGACCCTACCAAAATTAATGATTATTTTATGTCTGTTTATAGCTACAAACCTGTTGATTCACTAGTTTGCGAAAACTATTTCAAAAATAAATTAAGCTCTGAATATATTTTTTCATTAAATAAGATTGGTTCAAATGACGTATTACAGGCAATAGGGAGCCTAAAATCTGATGCGAAGGGAATTGATGGTATATCCCTGTCAATGATCCAGCTTTGCCTGCCAGTTATTCTCCATCACATCGTCCACATCTTTAACGACTGTTTGGGAAAAGGTTACTTTCCAAACAGATGGAAACAAGCTCTAATTATTCCAATTCCTAAAAAAATGAAACCCACTGAGTATAATGATCTCAGTCCTATCAGTTTATTACCAATTTTATCCAAAATTTTAGAAAAAATTATAAAGTTCCAATTGACCGCTTACCTAGAAAAATTCTTTATACTTCCCGATACTCAATCCGGATTTAGAAAAAATTATAGTACAACATCTGTCCTACTTAATCTGCAAGTGTCTTAGATAAGAAAATGGCACTATCCTTAATCTCTATAGACTATTCGAAAGCCTTTGACAGCATCAATCATAAATTATTACTTGCTAAATTAAATTACATAGGTCTTGACAGTGTATCCCTTTCATTTTTCGACAGTTACCTTCATCAAACAACTCAGTGTGTTTTTCTCAATCAAGAAATGTCTCAAGTGACAATAATTCCCCCAGGCGTACCTCAGGGCTCTGTATTGGGGCCGCTTCTGTTCCTCATATATACGTTCGACTTAAGCAAAAAAGCAAAAGTATTGATAATTCTCATGTCCAGTCATTTGCAGACAATACGCAATTGCTTCATTATTTTAACCCAGATAATGTCAATAATACTACTAAAATTTTACAAAACGATGTTAATAAATTAATTAAATACTCTCTAGATCACAATCTACTTATTTATCCACAAAAATCTAAAGTGATATTATTTTGCGCACAAAGAAAAGCATACAATGTAACTCAGCTCTTGAACATTCAGATAAATAACCAAATCTTGCAATTTTCTGATTCTGCAAAAATTCTTGGTGTTGTTTTTGATACAAAATTAAGGTTTATTGAACATGTTAAAAGTCTATCTCAGAAAACCTACCTACGGCTGCGCACTCTTATAGCAAACAGTTATTTACTAAATTTTAAGTTGCGTAAAAAACTATGTGAAGCATTGGTCATATCTATACTAAATTATTGTAATATCGTATACTATACTTGTTTAGACAATTTCACTAAAAACGTTATTCAAGTTATTCAAAACAATTGTATACGATTCATTTTTGGCTTACGTAAATTTGACCATGTATCAGCGAAATATCCCGTTCTAAACTGGTTAAAAATTAATGACATGGTCAAGTATCACTATTCAGTTTTTGTTCACAAGTTGCTGCTCACGTCTAAACCTTATTGCTTGAAGGAAAAAATTTCATTTAATAATGATGTTCACTGTACAACTCTCAGAGAAAATAATATTAGAATACCCCTGCATACGTCTACACTTTTTAAACGCAGTTTTTCTTACAATATTGCTATTATTTATAATGACCTTCCTAAAGTATATAAAGAATTTTCATTACCTGTCTTTCGACAAAAAGTCAAAACATTATTACTAAACCCTCCAAACATATAATTTACGTAATCGTTCATTTCATTTTTATTCCATCTTTAATTCAGATTAATAATTTTTTGGTGCATCTGGGTTTGGAAAGTATGCCTTTTTCTCTTTTTTGTTAAATTTTACTTTCGATGTAATGAACCAAATCTGTTTGTGGATAGTGTATTCTTTTGAACATCTGCTAGAGACTATATGGTTAAGTCTAAGAGTAGCAGCATGCTAAACTTCGCCATGTAAGTCTGACATTTGGCTATATACTACAATGTAATTGTGGACAAATAAAGACGACTATTATTATTAAATCAATCGCAAACTATGTACTAAATTCCTATTTAAAATAAGTACGAGTTATTTCCTTATCTTTCTTGAGAAAATATTTTTTTTGCCACAAAAAACGCTCGACAGCAAAATGATAAACAAACCATGGACGTAGTGAAGAAAAGCATTTACTTATTATGTAAATTCTTTTAGTAAAATTTCTTCTGAAAGTAGTGCAAACTAATCTATGTATAGTCAACGCCAAACAAAGTGGCGTGCACGTCATCAAGGTGGATGTGTTGAAAAATTTACATTGTTGCCAAACTTTTTGTAAAATAATAAAATTTATTATTTACATATCTAGGTTTATAAGCAATATTAACCTCAAATGAGAACAAAAATAATAGTATAATAAAATTATAGATCTGTACTTGCATAATCATTAAGTATGACAATTATTGATCAGATGACACTATGAAACTACCATATTTAATTGATAGCTTAAAGGTACTGAATAAAAATCCAAATGGGGTCCTCCAAATTTTATGCATGGTATTTATTTTACAGAATTCATACAGAAAAATGCATTCTAAAATTAGGTAAGCTACTGGTGTTAGCTTTTTCTGTACAATAAAGTTAGTCGGAGTTTCTTTCTTCAGCGCTGTCTGAATCTGAATTTTCATCACTCTCAAAGTTGATTATTAAAGGTTCGATGTCTGGTCGATCAAAAATTCGTTCTCCTTCATACCATTTAAAAATTTCTTGCTCAGTATGTCGAACACTATTTTTCCACATGTCTGGGGTAACCGTTTGTAGAGCCTCGTTCCACATATCCAAACAGTCTTTTTCACTGTTACCATCTCTACCAATATGTCTGTTATAGTAACCTTTTGCTATGCCCCAAATTAACTCAATAGGGTTAAATATACAATGGTAAGGAGGCAGACGAAGAACTTTGTGCCCATGTTGTTCCGCCAATTCATCAATCACGTATATTTTAGGTGGTTTGTTTCTAAAAAAGCAGTTATTTTAAGAATAGGAATAAACAAAAGAAATATAAACTGTCGACCAAAATATATATAATTAAGAAGTATTATGTACCGAGCAACAATACTCAATAGCTCTGTTTTAAACATTGTGTTTAAAAATGGTATGTTTTGATTTGTCAACCAGTCTTTGATATTTTTTTTTTCAAGCATTGTTGGGCACTTTGTTCAATATCATGCTGTGATAAGGGGCGTTATCCAGTATAATCATAGATGGACTCTCCAATTTTTCTAATAACTGATGTTGAAACCATTTCAAAAAATTGTCCTGGTTCATCTCTCCATGATAATCGCTCAATTTTGTTTTCGAAGAAAATATCGCTTCACTACCCTCAATAAACCCATTTTCATTTCCAGCATGTAATATAATGTATCTAAAATATATTAGTTTTAAATTTTATAGTGCAAATTGTGTAAAAGTACATACCTTTTACCATCTGTTTTAATAGCTTTCACGCTTTTTTGGTTTCCATTTTGCCAAGAGCGACCTATGGTCCCATTTTGAAATATCCAAGTTTCATCGAGGAAGACAAACTGGTATAAGGCCTCAACCTTGGCTTGATTGTATTGCCTTAGAAATTCCACCCTTTTCAAAGCTATACTTGGTAGTTCCATGAGCCCTCGTCGCGTATTGTCCTTAAGCCACTTAAATCCAAGATCTCTAAGCAACCGCCTTAAAGACGTGGCACTACCATCAAATAATGCCCTATCTCTTAATCGAGACCATAAAGTTTGTATCGTAACTTGTTCTTCTGAAACCATGTGTAATATGACATTATAATTTAGTTAACAAACTAATGCAAATTTCTGATAAGTTATTATAATAAGATCTTACTTTTGTGATACATATTATAGATCACTTCTCGAATGGCACTTGTATCCAATGTCGCTGTGTTGGTTACACGTTTAATATAACTCCGCTTTTTCTTGGGCGATTCTAAATTTGCATCACTTTTCACACCCTCGGAAATACGACTAACTGTCCTTAAACTAATTCTTAAAGCAGCAGCAACACGCTACAAAAAATGAAATAAAATTTCACTATTATTAATATACATTACATATAATTATTAGTAACCTACCTCTTGAACAGCATTTAAAGGCAACAAAGGCCCGTTGTTGTCCCTTTCTTGCTCAAAGTAGTGCATTAACGAGGCCACGAGTTCCTTACACCGACTATTTAACTGTTTGGGCATCTTTATATACCAAAATTGCCTTTATCTACTCGTAAAATGAATAATTTTGTTTTGAAACAAACAGTTGTTGATCTACAGTATGCGGGGCCAAAGGATTTATAAAGATTTGAAATGCCACAAATTGATTCAGTGTCAAAATTAATACAAATGTCAGTTCCCAGTTTAAATAAGTTTCAAGGTGACAATGTGTCAACGCTGCGAAATCGGTTTAGTGCGTTTACATGTCGATAAGTGATTGGAGCGTTTGCAAAACATTTTATTTCGCATAATGCGTCTAAATTTATTAGAAAGCAACTTATGTGATATTTTAATAACAATGTTTATATGACTATTAACCATAATAAGAGAGTAATGACCATTTTACAATCTATATATCACATTAATATGAAACTGCAATAGAGCAATTGTTTGTGATAGAAACCTAGGCATTAGGTCGGGGAATTTTTATCGTGATGACGTGCACGCCACTTTGTTTGGCGTTGACTATACCTATTAAAGTCTTCTTTAAGCTTTAAATTAATAAATCTTCAAAACTACTGAACTGAAGCTCATGTATTTTACATCATTATAAAGGGAATTGAAAGGCCTTTAAAATAAGGTATCACTCGACCCAAATTTCCTGGGACTCTGGAATAGTGCCTTCTAGCATTAACAAAATTCTGTAGGATCTCAGCATCCTGAATATAAGCTCAATATGCTCTGTTCATTCTGTATCTCACCGTGGAGCTTTTTAAGGTTATGATGATAGGCACTACGAGTAGTTGCTTTGATTTTTTCACTTAGTCTGTCCTTATAAGTCTTATATTTGCGATAATCTCCCTATTGAACCACGGAAGATATGAGCGAGATTTACTTTTGAATTTGGGAACATTTTACTTTTCTTTGGATCCAGGTAAACTGAAGATGATGTTCCAAACCATGGCTGCCTGCACCGAAGGCCTCGCAGAGGTACTCAAAGAATACGAGAAAATAAACGATGTCGTTGACATCAAAGAAGTCCTATCCAGATTCACGACGGACGTCATCGGATCTGTAGCGTTCGGCCTGGAATGCAACAGTCTCAAAGATCCTGACTCGGTATTCAGAAAATACGGCAAAAAGGTGTTCGAACCGAGCTTCATACGACGAATCAAAATGTGGATAATGATGTTCACCCCGAAACACATTTTGAAGAAGATCAGCTTCAAACAAACAGACGCTGCTGTTGAGAAGTTCTTCTTGGACACCGTGAGAGATACCATCAAATACAGAGAACAAAACAACATATTTAGAAAGGACTTCATGCACTTGTTGATCCAATTGAAAAACCGAGGCGAAGTGACGGATGACGACAAGCTATCTGCAGAAGTAGAAGAGTCGCAGAAGGAAATGCATTTGACAGAAAATGAGATTGCAGCTCAGTGTTTTGTTTTCTTTATCGCCGGTTTTGAAACGTCGGCTACTACGATGACGTTTGCTCTGTATGAACTAGCCGCTAATCAAGATATCCAGGAGAAGCTACGAGAGGAAGTTCGTGATGTGCTGGATAAGTATGACGGAAAAATGACATACGATGCTATTATGGAGATGACGTATTTGGATAAAATTGTCAATGGTGAGTAGTTTGTGGTCACTTCTGAACCTCCTCTTTACAACGCTCTACTACTCGTTACTATTGTTAATGACCAAAGTCAGTAGGAAGGAGAAAACTTACATCGATTGATCATGGAGGTATGATGGCACTAGCGCTGCCTAACTTCAGCAAATCGATACGATAGATCACACGATTTTAATGTATTTTTTTTTTATATCGAAACAGCCGCGCAGGCAGAAGCCTAAATGCCGGAACACCGCGGCTGCTATGATGATCCCAAAGAAATTTTGTTAATACGATTTTTGAACTGCCTAAGGTTAGTAGAACTGGGAAAAGCTTCCTCCCGTAGATTGTTCCACAGTCTAGACACCCTCGGGACAAAGGAGCGGTCGTATCGGCCAGTTCTGGATGTACGAAGTTTGACACGGTTAGGATGGGACGCCGAAGTCAGGCGGGTCTGTCTGGCAGGCACATCGCGCGGCGGCATCATGGAAGAGAGCTCTGAGGAGCAAAGCCCGTTGGTGTAGCGATAGAAAAGAGCTAGATCGCCGACGACCCGCCGGTGCGAAAGAGTCCCGAGACTGTCTGTTAGAGAAGAGTCATCGATCAGTCGGACCGCCCTCCTCTGGGCAGCATCGAGCATAGACAATGTAGTCGGGGCGACAGCACCCCAAATGTGTGAGCAATACTCGAGGCTAGGCCTTATCTGGGTCTTGTATAGAGTGAGAAGTTCATGCGGAGAAAAGTACTTCTTAGCCCTAAACAAATAGCCTAGCTTTTTCCCAGCAGCTGCAGCTATTGAAGAGATGTGTTCGTGCCAGATCAGGTCCTCGGTGATCTGGACTCCGACCAGCCGAAATGAACTCTACCGTCCATCGAAACTGTATGAGCGCTAGGACGCTTTTTGTTCGTCAAAGTATAGTACTGTGTTTTGGAAGCATTGAACTGTACAAGATTGTTGCGTCCCCAAGCAGTGATAGCCTCTTGTCAGAGAAGAAGTCGTCGCTAGTCTTCTTTTTTCCAGCTCAGCGGCAGAGATCGGCTTGTCACTCTGAATTCCTGCATGTAGAGTGCTGTCATCAGCGAAGCTGTGGATTGGGTTGATCGTGCAGGAAAGGAGGTCGTTGATATGTAAGAGAAACAGTGTTGGAGCCAAGACCGATACCTGGGGAACACCCGCGTTGACGTTGTAGGATGAAGAGGAGAGTCCGTCAATTACGACTGATATCTTGCGGCCAGAGATAAAGTCAGTCAGCCACCCATCTGCAAAGCTTTTCTGGGAGGCCGTAGGATGGAAGTTTGCTTAAAAGGGCAGCGTGCCACAGCTGATCGAACGCTTTCGTGATGTCAAGAGCAACGATATGAGCCTCACCATGAGACTGGATGAGTTTACTCCACAGTTGCGTGACGTAAGCTAGGAGGTCCCCTGTGGATTGTTGGTGCCGGAAACCGTACTGCCTGTCGCTAATCAAGCTGTGACGTTCGAGGTAGTCCAGAAGCTCGCGATTTATGCACCTCTCCATCACTTTACTTATAACAGAAAGCAGAGCTATAGGCCTGTAGTTGTAAGGGTCGGTCTTAGATCCTTTTTTTGGGATGGGCTGTACATGAGCAAATTTCCAGTTTTCTGGGAAGGTGCCGGATTCATAAGATATCTGGAAGAGACGCGAAAGAACTGGAGCAAGCTCCGCTGCACATCTCTTCAGTACAATGGCAGGAATCAAGTCCGGACCAGAAGCTTTGTTGATGTCGAGCGACAAGAGCACTCGTCTTACGGTCTTATGCCTGAATGTTACCTCCCGCATAGTGTGGGGAACCCTTCGAATTGACGGCACTTGGGCGTTGGTGGGGACGTCCATGGTGGAGTTGGCAGCAAAGATCTTGGCTAGCACTTCCGCCTTGGTCTTTGAGTCGAATACAATAGTTCCATCCTGACACGTAAGTGGTGGAAGGCTACTGTGTGAGAAGTTCTTTTCAATCTGCTTGGCCAGCGTCCAGAAAGACCGACTGCCATTACGCTGCGACATTACCCTGTGCCTAACTTTTATATCATGCTGGTTTTTGGCATTGCGAACCGCAATATTAAAATATTGCGTTACTAATGCTGAGTGCGCTGATGAAGTCATATCTTCAAAATCATAGTCAACAAATTATACTTTTTGGCAATCTAGCAAATTGTATCGTCTGGGGTCCTCAGGGATCTGTAATTGGGCCATTATTGCTTACTATCTATTTCATATTTACGCCGTTATTGTACTACAGATTTGGAGTTGACGATGTACATTTTGCAGAACGAAAATTGAATATAACTTGTATAATCTTTCATGTACGAGCCCCTTCCCCCTTCAGTTGGCCCACTTCAAGATTTGTACCAAAATATGCCTTTATAAACTGAACATGAAACTATTTACTTCTAAAACAATTTGTTTTCTCAAAAACATTTTAGATACACTCTAGTCGTAAAAAATACATATTTGAAATCATTTAGACCTATAACTTATAGAACATCTGAACAAATAAACAATGAGCGAATAAATGCGCGAAGTTAACATAGCAACAATTGAAAGATTACCATTGGGTAACATCACCTTTATTTTTTATTACGGCTGAAATTCTTTGGGGCATAGGCTTTTGTCCCAGTTCGGTGATTGTACGAGCAGGATGTTGTCGTAGAACCTTTTTCATCTCGTGCCACAAAGTTTCAATAGGTGACAAATCTGGACTGCTAGAAACCCATTCAAAAGTGGTACATTATTTTCTTCCATCCATTTTATAGCCTTTTTTGAGGTATGGCATGCTGCACCATCCTGCTGAAACACAAAATCTTGGCCGGATGTCAAACATTCTTCCATCACTGGTAAAAGCGATTCTTCTAAAGTTGTCAAATATTTGTTTGTATCCACATTTCCGTCAATAAAATGAAGTTTTCCTACTCCTTTTGATGACATACTGCCCCAGACCATAATGGATGCTGGAAATTTCACTTTTCTCTTCAGACAGTCAACATGGAATGCTTCATTTTTTTGCGAATAACTCTACTGCAACTGTCACTAACTCAAACTTCGAATCGGGCCTCATCACTCCATTGTATTGCACACCATTGTTGAGGTGTCCATTGTCTATGTTCTTTAGCCCATCTAAGCCTATTTTTATTTTACAGTGAAGTTAATAGTGGCTTTTCTTTGGCCTATAAACAAGTTGTGCAACTTTAGGGTTTTGTACTTTTTTTTATAAGAAAACTTACCTTGCAAGTGCTAAATCCCAGTTTGTGGGCCTCTCTATGAGTTGTGGACCTCGAAATTCGCCTTGCCTCAGCGTCACTCCACAGAGCACTTAATTGTAAATTTTTGGCACGCCTGTTTTTCACGATTATTCTTCTTAATGCTCTTCGGTCGGCATTTGTGATATTACTTTTTTTCACATATCGTGGCTTAATATTAAACGAACCAGTTACGTTATATCTTCTAACAATATTTACACTGTACCTCAATAAGTCTAACAAAGTTGCAATTTCTGAGTTTGATTTCCCAGAATTAAAAAATTTAATTATTAGTAACCTATGAGTTATAGACTTATTTTGCATTGAAATGAAAATAGGTTGATATGCTGTAATTGCAACATGTGTTATTTTTATGCTACAAATTTGATTAGGGAGTGATAAAGTTGGTGTTTTCTACTATATATTATCAAAATATTCATTGGTAATATTTTAAACCCTGCTATATTTTTATTATTTGTGTTTGATAAGAAAAAAACTAAGATTTCAATAGTTGGGGAAACTGGAGTGGGAAGGGGCTCGTATATTAAAACAACGTTCTTTATTATTAGATTCGAAAAAGTCCACTCTTCTTTTGTTTGGGCTCGAGAAACAATCAAAAATAATTTTAGTATCACAATTAACAGCGTTCCAATTACGAGGGTTGATTCTAGAATATGGTTCCCACATTTTTTTCATGTACAAGGAATTGTTTATTTGAAAAAACGTAGTCACCATTGGAAACGTTGATATTTAAGCTATTTTCTCTATACCGTTAGAGATGAAAGCACTAATACTTGCATTTTTTTTTCAGAAACACTGCGTAAACACCCACCCGTACCTGGCACACCAAGGATATGTACCAAACGATACCAAATTCCCGGCACAGATATATTCATTGAGGAGGGAACAAGAGTTAATATTCCAATACATGCCATTCAAAGAGATCCAGAATATTATCCCGACCCCGAAAAGTTCGACCCAGAAAGATTCAATGAAGAGAATAAAAGCAAAAGGCGTCCTTACACGTTCATGCCATTTGGAGAAGGGCCAAGGATATGTATAGGTAAATACAGGTCTATAAGAATAAGATATACCAAATAAATAGTACGGTAATCATTTATATTGATGCATAATCGTTCCTATCTAGAAGCTAGGGTTAAAGATTTAAGAGTCTCAGAAAGTAAGAGTGATGGTTCAGACAGTAAAAAATTCGAGTTTGAAGGGTCTCCATCGTTGTCCCTAGATTTGATTTATTACTAGAATGGATTACTGTTGGAACTGTGAAGCTGTTTCAGTTAGCGTCGAAAGTCGAGTCCTCGCTGGATACCGTCGATTCTGGCGATACAGTAGATGATCTACTCGCCATAGGGAACTAGTAATATTGCTTCAATCGGTCTGATCAACAGAGTGTCAACCGTGTTTCATGCTTATTGACAATCATCAACCCGATACAGGCGACCCAGTCAACATGATGACGCCAAAATGACGTCATTATTCGGTCAGTTTCGGAAACGTCATTGTCTGAAAAATGACGTCTTTATTGACGCCATTTTTATGACAACAAGACGTCCTCAATAGGCCGTCATTTTGACGTCTTTTTTAGGACAGTCGGTGCTGAAAAATCAATACCTAACAAAAATATAGACATTTAGTAAACAATAAGCTAAGCTAGATGTTCAAATACTAATAACTACTTTATTTATAAAAAAAAGTATCAGGTGATCTTCGACCAAATATGACTCTTCCAATAGTAATATGCGATGTACAGATATTTCAAATTGCCATTTTACATCATGTTTCGAATTTATTAGAAACTCCTCTGTATAAATATAAACAAGTTTTACTGGAATACTTGTGATCAGTCATATCGACTTTGCATTTTGTGTGGCATTAGACCGTCATTTTTACGTCATTTTTGTTGGTCAGCGTACGTCAGTAAGGCCCTAAGCGTGCCAAAATTATGACGTCACTTTCTTCACTGGGTATGAGTGACAGCAGAGCAAAGTATCCTCTATCGGAGGTATAATGTCTATACAAATCTATTATCATAATCGGCCACTGATTAGCAGCTAATTATAGAAAATATTAGTGCTTAGTAAAATTTATATTTCTGTGTTCTAGGTGCTAGGTTTGGATTGCTGCAAGCCAAAGTTGGACTGACGGCCATCATAAGCAAATTCGTAGTCACTATCAATGAAAAGACCGAAATGCCTCTGAAATATGCAACGAACATGTTTATAACAACACCAAAGGGTGGGCTATGGTTGAACGTGAAAGAAATCAAGTGATATTAAAGTATACTCGTATAAACGTTCTACGAGACTGACATAATTATTATCTACTAGAAGTAACCAATTTCTTAACGACTGAGTAAATATATGTCGACATTCAGTGATGTATAAAATAGGAGGATTCGTTTATTTTTTCTACCATGTGGATGAATAATAAAGATGTAAATATTTGTATAACGTAAATAGCACGTCAAATTACATGTATGCATTGATAATCCCACTTGAATGTGTTTGTAAAAGTTTATCTGACATAATAAAGTGTATACAGATACTCACTACATTGGATTTTATTTTTCCCCTTGTGATACAGTTTGATTTTTCTTCAATTCAATAAGAAATCCTCAAGTTACAGTCGATATTTTCCTTCATTTGTTGAATGTTTCAATACTGCACTATTAGTAGTAAAATATCATGTACATTGAGCTAATGATAAGTTCATTATCGTCTTGGGATGCAATAATTCTTTTTTGTCCTCCAGAGCAATTTCACTTGAGTCATCCAAAAAGAGTGTTTCCTTTGTTCGACAAGTTTTATCGTGTAGAAATTACTACATCCTTATTATAACAAATATATATACTAAGTGACATATAAATCCGAACACCCAGTTTAAATCGTCTTATTTTAATAAAAGTTGGTGAATGTATTTATCTTACTGTAAATAACAAGTGAAAAAATTTTCAGCCTTATCAGTTGGACATTCCGGTTTTTATAGTGCTTTTTTTAATTCACTAACGCTCTAAAAATGAATATTTCAGCCGCAGTAAAGAATCAACGTTGGCGGGTTTTGGTTCTTGACATCCTTTACGATCGGTTACGATGCCTAGAGTACGGAGACCTGTACGATTTCGTCAACTTAGTGAGTTTGATAGGGGCCGTATAGTGGGACTTCGGGAAGCTGAACTTTCTTTTCGGGCAATTGCAGTTAGAGTGCAAAGAAGTGTAGACACTGTGGTTAGGTGTTGTCAGGCTTGTAATCGCCTTGAGTGGTGCAGATAGCGGTCACTCTGGGATCAGGAATGGAACAGTATTGTCTTTAGTGACGAGTCTCGATTTTGTTTAGGCATGCACGATGGTCGTGCCAGGGTTAGAAGGCGACGTGGTGAAAGGAGGAATCCACAGTTTTTTGTTGAAAGACATGTTCATCACACTGTTGGAGTTATGGTTTGGGATGCTATAGCTTATGGTTCCAGGTCACCTTTAATCTTCATCAGAGGTAACATGAACGCGCAGCGTTATATCCACGAAGTTCTAGAACCCCATCTTTTACCCTATCTTGACACCCTGGCAGATCCAACTTTCCAACAAGATAATGCCCGACCACATGTTGCAAGAGTCACAATAGACTTCTTTCAACATAATGATGTCACATGGTTACCATGGCCACCAAGATCTCCCGACTTATCCGCAATTGAGCACGTGTGGGATATGATGGATAGGAGATTGCTCAATTTGCAACGTCCTCCTCAGACTATAGAAGCACTTCGAGAGGAGTTGGTGGTTGCCTGGAATGAGATACCACAGGAGGACATTGACCACTTGATCAGAAGCATGCCTAGGCGCGTTGGAGAATGCGTAGCATATCAGGGTGCATCCACACTTTATTAAAGTTCAACGGGCTTTAAAGCAGTGCAATCATTTTGAAATTTTTATCATTTACTTATTATGTTTTATTAAGTACTTATACAAAATTTTATTAAAATAAAACCATTTAAACTGGGTGTTCGGATTTATATGTCACTTAGTATAGTTGATATTCTTTTATCTACTGGGCCATTGAAAGAAACGAATTATTTAGTAGAACATTGTTTTATGGAGTAACTAATAAATCGTGTTTTTTATTGCAGAGCTAATCATTATTTAGTGAACTCAGGTTCTATTGAACTAGCAAGGGACTAGACGTCGTAAAAACGCGATGTAATAAATCAGTCGCTGAACTTGGAACGAGCGGTATCATCAAAATATCTGCTTGTTACCTACATAAAAAGGTGTGTCATTAAAATAAAACATACAATAATACCGTGTCACCCCCTGGGAATCAAGTTGCAGCTTAAAATGTGCATATTTATCATGACTTTGTGTTCAATTTTGAGGATTCTTAGGACATGTACCTCGCATCTCGGAAAATTTGCTACCCTCCCGGTCCTCTTTAAATGGTTTTGGGGGCAGATACGCTTTCCATTTTACTTCCTGCGCGACTGGGCGAGAAAGTATTGTGATTCGGAAAAATTTAGATGAGATTTAATGTTTTTTAAATGTTATATGGCATCACGAAGAACCATGTCACTTAATTCAGTCGGTCTGTCCGTTTTTCCGCTAGTCCTTGGCCCCTCTGTAGCTTAAGAAGTACCGCTTGGATTTTAATGAAATTTTCACACAAGGTTACAGATGTGTCAAGAACGAAAAGGCTTTTTAATTTTCGAAAATCGGTCCAGAGGCGGCAGAGTGTGGGCGAAATACAAAAAAAAATAGACGTTGGTCAAACTCCGTTTTTTGACGTTTCATTTTTAACTTTTGAAGGAGTTCAAATTCGGCGGTTGTGGGTTGTAGAAGATAGAAGAGGGTATATGAAGATTTTCTGATCTTAGTATGCTTATATGCTTCCATCTCCGGTCATTCAGTGCAACTATCAGCCATATTTCACACATAGTAGGTTTGCCCTCACATTTACCATTAAAGCTTAAAGAAATGTTTACGCCTCCCGTCGAATCGAACATATACAAATACACGAACCACACACCAAATCAACAACTCGCTGAAGCAATGCCGTGCAGATGTGCAAAAGGACAACGTTCCAAATGTACCGGTAGGACAGGGAAATAATGTCTATGGACTAGCTGTATAGGCCTGTTTGACTGGCTTGATCCTTTTAATTTCTCTGTTGTACATGTGCGTAACTGACTCTTTTCTGAGAGGATTTAAACTGCACGGAACATAATCATTTATGAACTGGTGACGACGTTGCAAAGGAAGTGCAGAGTCAACCTACTTTACGTAATTTTTTTCACTCTGTCGTGTCCGTGCGGTCAATACAAATATAAATAGTAGTATTTTGCATATCTCAAATCGAATAATGAACTCGTCCACGTAGAGGTGAAGGTCATTTGTTATCCGGCAATTGTTTATAAACAAATGTCGTTAAGTTTTAGTATCTGGTAAGTTAATATCAAGATGTTAATATACAGTGTACCTATCTACCTTTCTTTGGTGTCTACCACACTCATATCTAACAACAATCAATCAGAACATTTTGGGGTTTGCATAATAAGATTATCCAAGACACTCATGGCTGTCTTCAGATATTCCAACAAGTTCAGTAGATATTTCTGGTTATAACTTCCATGGTCGTGATCGTGGCAGTCGCGGAGGTGGGATTGGCTGTTATGTCAAAAATCGTTATTCATCAAAAATTCTATCGTTTGAGGAATATGATCGTACTTCTCTAGAAATGCTTTGACTCAAGGTTCGTATTGACCGTAAATGTATTGTAGTTGGTGTTATTTATAGACCGCCTCGGGGAAGTTTGGATGAATGCATCTTGGTACTTGGTGACCTCAACGTTAATTTCTTTACTGATAATAAGATTAATCAGTGCTTTCAATTTTACTGCCTGCACCAGTTATTGAATGAACCAACTCGAATAATTGATCATTCTTCAACGCTTCTGGATCCGGTTTTCTTCAACTGTCCACAAAGATGTTCCAAAGTGGGAACTTTCACTGTTAACTTTAGTGACCATCAGGCTGTATTCTGTCACATTTCGTGTAAAAACAGTAAACCACCACCTAGACTAATTGCGTTTAGAGACTATCGCAATTTTGATCTAACCTCTTTTGACGATGACTTATTTAGCGTTAATTGGGCTGAAGTTATTTATATGGCTAATATCGATGAGAAAGTAAAATTTATTTCCGATAACATTGTAGGACTTTTTGACATACATGCACCGCTAAAAACACTGAGAGTGTCTAAGCCTCGTGCACCATGGCTCACAAACAATTTGAAAATGATAATGAAAGAACGAGATAAGGCTTTCCATAAATATAGACGCTCTCGAACGAATGCGAATCGAATTCATTACAATGAACTGAGGAATTTTACAAAAACTGCTACACGTGCAGAGAAATCAGGCTACCTTCAACATCTATCTCGACAAAGAAACTCTGCAGCTCTTTATAAAGCTCTTAAGTCATTTAGAATTCAGGATTCTAGTAAAACTGACATTCCAGATGATTTAGCAGTTCCCAATGAAATAAATAACTATTTTACCAGTATATT